ATTATAGCTAGTTGGAGTCCTATATGCCTCACTTATCTCTATGCCAAGTTCTTTTCCCCTATTTGGGAAGTTTTCTGCCATTACTTCTTTGACAGTTTTTTTTATGTCATCTGCACTCTTTCCTGTTTCTTCCTTGACTCCAATTACTCTGATGTTATTCTTCTTCACATCATCTAGTGGTTGCTGGATTAATTTCTTGTGGTCCCTTACTGTATTTAAGAAATTTTTCTTTTCCTGGTCACTAATTGCAATCCTGTCATCTATATCTGAAATTATATCCTCACATTTGCTCATTCTGCTGTGTAAACTTTCAGTGGAGATTTTAGTCTCATGGAAATCTGTTTGCATCTGTTTTATGGATTTCATATATTTCCTATGTTGGGATTCCATCGTGTTCCTCAGCTCCTCTATTTTTTTGTGTCTGCTCTAGATTTATTAATCATGTCTTGTACTATGGGCACAATCTCTGCTGTTATCTGAGAAAGTATTTCTGATTTCATTTTTTCCAGGTCCCTTTTCGTTGCCAGTTCAGGGGGTACAGTTGCTTGAGTATCAGATTGTTCCATCTCATTGCCCTTTGGGCTTCCCATAGGTGATCTGGAAGTCTGGTTTTGGGACTTACTTAGTTTCTTCTCATCTCAACAGATGCAGCCTGCTGTGTTTTTGTTGAGGTGACTTTTTGCTCACTTAGTGGTCTTGAATTCTCAGCATGCCACCAAGCAGCCTTTACTCTGCTGCTCACCAGTACATCAATTTCTGGGTTCAGAGTGGTGGCCTTCTAGATCTCTGAGCTGAAATGTCTGCACAGACTTCTGGCTGGGGCCTGAGCACACTTGGGATGGTATCTAGGCATGACCCTCGCTGGGGCCCCTATGTCTGGGAAGGCCTTTGGTTGGGGGCTGTGCACCCCAGTTTCTGTTGTCAGCACAGGCTTTGGCTAGGGTCTCTTTGTACTTCTCAGTGGGGCAAGCCTCTGGATACTGCTTGTGTGCCTGTACAGCTCTTCTCCAGGCAGGTCCCTGACTGTGGCCCATGGTATGGTGGGCCTCTGGCTGAAGCCTGTGTGCCTGTGCAGCCCCTTTCCGGTGGGCCTTTGGCTTGGTTGGGTGTGCCCAAGCCTCTGGGGTTGGGGCGGAGCCCCAGCTGGGATCCACCTGCACCTGCGCAGGTCTGTGCTGCACAGCTGCTCCCTGGGATCTGCCCACACTTAGGGATGGTATGGCGGGCCTCCGGCAGGAGCCCTCATGCCCATACAGCTCCTCTGTGGGAAGACTCTTGGCCTGGGTGGGGAGGTTGTGCCAGAGCCTCTGGTGTCAGGGTGGATACCCGGCTGGGATCTGTCTGCAGCTGGGCTGGTCTGGGCCACACCTGCTCCCCAGGATCTGCACGCACTTACTGATGGAATGGTGAGCCTTCTGCAGGAGCCCACGTGCCGGTCTGCTTTCACTTTTTGTTATGAATGAGTCTATCCTGGCTTCTCTGGTCTTGACCATCCAGTTTTGACATGTGTGGATTGTTTCTTTTGAAATTTCTTAGAGAAAAAAATCTCACTGGCCTTGCTATGCACTGAGCCACATTTTTGTGGCTGGTCAGTCTCTGAGTCTGTGACTCCTTGGTAGAGCCTTTTCTGTTCAATCAGTGTAACCCAGCGGGCAGAGCAGGCTGGGTAGGGCTGAACATAAGGCAGGCCTCAGGATTTCTGGGAATTGCACAGGGCAGGATGAGTAAGTGATCTTGGGAGTTTGTTCCCAGACCATTGCAATGCCTAGACTCCTTGGTAGCAATGGGACTTTTTGATGCTCCAAGGGTACCTAGAGATTGGCTTTTTTGGCCTGGGGTCCCAAGTGCTTCTCTGGGGCCTGTGAATGGCCAATAGTGAGCTTTTATTTTTGTTTTTTTCTGGCCCATGAGCCCATGCTCTGAGCTGGGATGGCTTCTGAGACCACACTGGATCTACCAGGTCTGCTACTGTTCTCAAGGGATGCCTAGCAGGCACTGCCCTGTGTGTGGGTGGTGACTCTGTTTCACCATCTCACCATCTGGAGGAGTTGGAATGAGAATCAGGCAGGTTTTGTGATATGAAAGCCTTTGTCATTTTATTTTACAATAAAAAATTCTAACAGCATATGAACACTGTTCCCGGCAGAGGCAAAGGATGTACAAAGTTAATTAGAAAGCAAAGCATTAAAATAACAACAGCTACATTCAAAGCTTCTGCTCAGTACTTTGCCTGATGTGTTTAATGTGGTTTGAAAGAATCACTGATCTGGGTTTTTCACCCAGAGTGAAAGCACAGGTACAAGTAGTTACATATCCCCCAAATCACAGATGACAACAACAATAACAGCAACTCCCATGTGGGGCTGGCTTTTGTGGGCAATTCCAAACTTAGGAATTTATTTGTCCTTGACAAGAAGTTGTCAGGGAACACAAGATAATATAATTTACTCCAGTGGGTGGGTGGAGCTAGAACACTTTGCTAGATAAAACTGAATTGCAAAAGCAACAATTTAGTAAGAATTCTTTCAAATGTACTTCTCAAGCCATTTTCAGATATATTATGCTATGTGCTCCTCCCAACCACCAGGGGAACTAGGAAGTACAGGTGGTATACCCATTCACCAGGTGAGGAATTAGAGACTAGTTTTAAATGAGTTGCTCAAGGGCTAGAATATTTACACCTGTTCAAAATTGCCAGTCCACAGACATTTCTCTGATTCTGTTTAGTACAATTTTTTCTCCATTATATTTGTATGTGGGAAAAGGTGAGTTTAGACATAAGGGACAAGGGGAAGGTGAGGCCACAGTTAATTTATGTAAAATACATTTATGGCCTCCTTCTATAATTTACAAAAGCCTGACCAGGGTCAGAGAATGAAAATAATCAATTTCTAGATTTCATTATATAATGGCTCTCAATAAAGTATGGGTTTGACCTTTAGAGACAGATTCCTGCCTTATCAAAATATTTTATTTGTGTAACCTGCAGAATCAAAGCAACTCAATATCTTCTAAGAGAATTTGTTTCTGACACAATTATACTTCCTAAATATTACTTTTCAGAAACTCCCTACATCTTAGCTTTTACCACCAGCTAGCAATCTGTTAACAGTTCACCTAAGAAATCAAGAGACTTTTCAATTTTCAGATACTAACTTCTTATATCCAGAAGGTCAGAGCTAGTATAATATCAGTTTCACTTGAAACCAATTTTGTTTCAAAAGACTCTATTGAGAGGTTCATTGGTTTTCTCATCCATGCAAGTGTGTGGTTGTGAGCCACATTAATAGCACCTGAGCTAAGATCATGCAGTTCAATTTACAAGTATTTATTGTCTGCTGAGCAGGACATTCTGCTAACTGGGCCCTGCTTAGAAATCCCTTGGTAGGCCCAGTAGCAGTATCAGATAACTGGTGTTGGGGTGGGAAGTGGCGGGGAAGTTCTGGCCAATCTTGGAGGTTCAAGTGCATGCATTCCCACTTGCTGCACAAGTGAGGGATACCCTTTCCTCTCTGTGGCACTATCCATAGGTGTTGCCCTCTAGTACTGGCTGCTGGGTGGCACCCTAGGAGTACTGGTCAAATCCAGTCTGTAGCAGGTTCCTTTCGAAGGTCCTACCCAGTCTCACTCCTTCCTCTGGGTACCAGCCCCTAACAGAAGTTCCTGCTGAAAAGGTCAATCCAGGGACCCACACTTGTATGACCCTTCTTTGCCTCCTTGGTTACATCTGCTTGGATAGGCACCTGACCCCAATGGCTCATCCAGAGGTAGATGAGCTGGACCAATCAGATTCTTAGCAATTTGCCTATGGCAGCACAGAGATGCTAGGCAGAGTGCTGGGCGCTGAGGAGGAAAGGTTGTGTGGAGTGGGTCCTGGACTGGGTTTGTCAGCTACATTTGCACTAATGAGAAAGTGTGTTGGCCAAGGGCAGCAAGATATCTGAGCAGATATGCAGAGAGAAACAGATGAAAGAGAGCACAAGAGAGAGCCACAGCAAAGGTGCAAGGCAGCTCCCCTCATCCGTTGCCTGTTGGGAAGTTGTGTGTTATTTCTATAAAATGTCCCTGTATTCTTTCAGTCAACTCCTTCACTTGAGCGAGTGTGGAAAACTTCCTCCCCCTCACAGTTCCTTGTCTGGAATGTCTTTGGGGTTGGACAAAAGAGCAGAATTTAACTTCTAACACTTAGACCCCAGTCAGTCACTACTCCATGTTTAATTTTTATTATTCCCTAAGAGTCTTTCACTGTATTTTGAAAGTGAAGTCCACATTTTTTTCTGGTATGTGGTAGGAGAAATTTAAAGTTCAAATCCTGTTCTCAAACTTTAAAAATAGTATCTGTTATTTTATTCATTAAACTTCGAGCACTTGTGTGTTATATAGTAACACATTTATATGTAACCAATATTTACATTTTTTGATTTATTTCTCCAATTTCTGCCTAATGCTAGAAAAGCATTTATTTTTGTTAGGTATTTAAATGCCTCTCCCTTTCCATTCTAAATACTCTCTCAGAAAGTTTTTTTTTTTTAAATCACACATCTAACAATTTCCTTTCTTCCATGAAGATCATTCAGAAATTACATGCCCTTTTGCTGGGTTCTTAAAATAACAAATGCACAATATAACTTCTTTAGGACTGGAGAAGCGATTCTTATACAATCCACCCTTTAGGAGGCAACTTCCTGTTCCACAGGTAACATTTGCCATCTTGTTATTACATGAGCCTCAGATCATTGGTACCAGGTCACACCACAGACCTCTGTCTCCCTGTACTGCCTGCTTCCTCCCCCAGGGTGAAAAACGGCACTGCTACCTTTCAGTGACAAGCTGTCAGTACATCCCTGCCTGCCTGTTGGATCTAGGGTACTGAGAGAGGGGAAGTCACACCCACAGTTTGAACAGCATCTGAGGATACCATTTCCTTGATGTCCTCTCTGGAAAAAGCCAGACTGCATTTCTTTTTCATGAATGCAGAAAACTCATATCAAAACCAGTGCTGAAAAAACCATTTATTAAGCCACAAAAGTATTGTCCTCTATACACTATATCCAAAGTTCCTTACTCAATCATCGTTTTTTCTCAGCAAGAGCATTATGAAGTCCCTCACAGGACCTTTGTCTATTTTGTAAACTTTCAGGGACAGTTAAAGAAATGTGTCACCAACAAGCATGCAGGCAGCATGGTAAATGGAGAGCAGACTGGATCATGAATCAGCAGGGATGGGCTTGATCCTTGGGTTGGTCACTCCATTTCTCTGGACTTCTGCTTCCTCCTCCATGGTGACCGATATTCTTTATGGCTTCTGTGACTGTCTGGAGGATCATGATAAACACTGAGTTCACTGCTGTCTCCTTAGGGTTCTTATGGAACCCTATTTTCACTTCCATGAAGCACCTTTTACCATCTGCCTTTCCACTTATCCTGGTATCTGTCAGCTCCATGAGGTCAGGAGACATCAGAGAAGGGACCACATCTTAGTCCCAGAAAATTGAAAAATGATGGCTCTCTCCCCTTTGTTGGGAAAACAGGAACAGATTTTTCTTCATACACGTATTATTTCCTCTCACTTACTTTTCTTGAACCTGCGGTGTCTAGTTTAAGAGACTGTCTGATTTAGCATGCTATATCTTATTTTTCTCAAGGGACTAAATATTTCATAGTGTTCTGTGAAGGCTGCAGTGATTTGTAGCTCCACTGTCTTAGCAATCTGGAACCATACCAGGGCAAACTCCAGATTCATGACCTGCAATCACCGGAACATTCAAAGCTCAGACACTGTCTTTTGAAACATGTACATATCTTTCAATGACACTAAGGTCTTGAAACTTCACTTTCACATACAGTATTTCCAGACATTTACCAAATAGACAAAGTACTGGGTTGATATCATTGCACTGATGAAATATTGGTGTCATTTATAAAGTGGGACAATGTAGCTGACTTTATCAGACTCATACCATTTGCATGAAAAGGCTGAGTTTCTTTGGCTCTTTGTTCATTCAAGTGCATCGAATGCCGATTTGGATAGACCTAGGCATTGTGTTAATCTGTCGATAAAATCTTGCACCGTCCACAGTGTTCTGCAAGCTGATTTAGGTTTTGGACTACAACAACTGGCCATTGGTAGAAATATACCATATATACACATGGAAATTACAAAAATACATTTTATTTATAGCTGATTTCTTTTTAAGTAACAAAAACTAATACTATGAAAGATCAACCAGCATACTAAAAGGAGACTACCTAATATCATCTGAACAAGGGACTTGTTTGAGGAGTCCACGATACGTTATCTCTGAACATTCCAGAAAGGGCAATTGGCCACTGGGAAATAAAAACAGCTTCTTGGAAAAGTCTGTGCTTTGACAGTTTGAATCTCCCATTCTAATCAGTTCCATTCCTACTCTTCTCTCAACTTTTAAATTTCCACTTTCTTCTTTCTGGTAAAGACCAAAGAAACTCATGAGGACAATGGACAGATGGACTCAGAAGGGAATGGGAACTGCTGAAGCTAGATGGGTCATGGGTGAAGGCAGGACAGGACCTCGCTCTCCAACAGACACCAAATAAGCCCCCAACACCATACATGCTACCCAAAGTCAGGAGCCGTTTTGCTTGCATTCATGGAAGTCAGTGGCTGGTGGCCCAGTCCTGTGGGGCAATGTCCTCCACTCGGAACTCTGGAGGCCAATTCTCTATGCCAAGAAGGGTGACCTGGAGCATCACGGTCACAGGGTAGCAGCCTTGCCATTTTGACAAATGTCCATAAACTATGGAGACTTGGCAAACTCCATACATTTTAAAAAGAGGTTATTTACATTTAAATTCAAATCAACAGATTTTCTACATTCAGAAGCTTCTATAAACTGAGGCTGCAGCCCGGAATAACCGAGATCCATTGGTCCCATTTCTAACAGGAATCAATGATGATTTTCTCTTACACCCCTTGGCAGAACAGGCTGTACATCGGTGTTGAAGAGACAGAGATTTTCTTGTAAAAGTCAATGTATCTTTTAGCTCTAAGAGAGAAGCTCTGTTCTCAGGCCAGCTTCAATGCAGGCAAAGAAAAACCTCTACAAATACCTATTTTTCTTTTGTAGGATCCTAAAAGCTCTTAGCACCGATTCTCTTTCATTTTAATCCCAACTCTCAGAGTACTCTATTTCCAAGTGACAACAGCTTTTAAAAAGCTGGTCGACACAAACCCACCATTCTTGCTCATCTCTCCCGGCCTTTAATCAACTGTGTGTGTGTGTGTGTGTGGGGCAGTCAGGACTATTTATAGGTGCAGCCATTGGTACATCCAATTCATTTGACTTTGAATATGAACCTTTAAAAGCAAAGAGACTCAAGTTTCTTGGCTGGACTCAGTGTCTGCTTTATAGAGATGATTTTAGCAATCACAGTCACAGCTGAATGAGAGAGAAGACAATCTGGGGCGTAATCCACACTCCTGCATTGCCTTTAACACAGAAGAGAGTTAACATGCAGAGGTCACCAAAGATAGAGCTATATTCTCCCCTTCCTGGTGATTTATTCAAATGTGGCATTGGACAAGAATCTGTAGATTAGTGAGTGCCTCTCTTGACTAAGGCTTCTTGGGAAAAAAAATACCCGCCGGTCATTCAACATAGCAGAATCTGAAACACATGGTCCCAAGCAGGACCTGTGAGCCACGATCAGGTGTATGAGCCAAGATTCCAGTGGCTCATGAGTTTCCTCTGTTTCCCAGAAGCACCACTGTTCATCTTTTCGGAAACTGAAGGTGAAGAAGACTCACCCGTTGTCAGTGTCTCAGGTCCACACACAATAGGTGTGAGGACCTCAAAGCTTGATTCCTTGGACTCAGGAAGTGCAGAGCCCCATGGGGCTGAAGCGTTAGACTTGGAACTCAAACATGTCCGTCTGCTTCTTGGCCAGCTTGGCCACCTCCTCTCGGATGGCTTTCACGAGGGCTGCAGTGGAGATGTTGGTCAGAGGAGCGTCGGACGGGTCATTTTCCGCCAGGCTCTGCTGTGACACCGCCGCAGAGGGCATGGGGGCCTGCTCCAGGCTGGGGTGCAGGTTGGCTGGCTGGCTGTACTGGCGCGGGAGCCTGGAGGGCGAGCTCTGCTGATACCGTGACCTAGGGTAGGCCTCGATGTACCCGGGCAGGGGCACCTGCACAGGACGTCAGGAGAGAAGGGAAGAGAGTGTGAGTCACAGGACACGCTCAACAGGGGCCTAAGGACAAGGAAAGGGCCTCTCTCTCAGAGGAGAATGGAAGCCACATACCGTTGTCCAGATACAAAGCCTGAAGTCAGTCTGTTTAGGAACAGGTAAGAAAAGACTCGCTGAATGTGCTGGTTGGATGAATTAAACAGATACTTAAAACCTGACTGAGAGGATTAGGAATACATCTGAGTCTCCATCTGAACCTACTTGGAGTCCTTATTTTAAGCACATTTCAGCAAACAGAACTATAGCCAAGAAGCTCAGGGGAGTTCTTTTTCCTTCTCTTTCCCCTCCCTCTATTCCTCCCCCCCCCGCCCTTCCTTCCAATTCTTCCTTCTTCTCTCTCCCCACTTCTTCATTTTCCAGAACTGAGGATTGAACCCAGAGCCTTCACAGTGAGCTACACCCTCAGCCCTTTTTTTTTGTTTTATATTTTGCAACAGGGTCTCCTTAAGTCAGTAAGTTGCACGGGCTGGGCTAGAATTTGGGATCCTCCTGCCTCAGCCTTCCAGGGTGCCAGGATTATAGAAATGTGCCACTAAGCCCAGCTGGGTTTCTTATGAATAATAATAGCTAGCACCCATTCCAGACATTATCTCATTTAATTCTCAAAGGAACAACCTAGGAGGTATCATTATCCTTATTTTACAGATGCAGACACTAAAGCAAAGAGTGCCACAGTCTAGGTGACGCAGGTAACAAGCTCAGGAGAAGTGCCGGGACAGGTGTGTCTGCTTCCAAGTGTTGTCAATGAATCCCTGCACTACATGTCTTGCATCCGGGATATGATCTTGATTTCTTGAAATGTTTTTCTTTCCATTAAAAAGCAGGAGACACACCATTCTACACTTAAATGTTATGGAACTTCCGGGAATAAGGGTAGATCAAGGATTTGGAATTTAAGAGTGACTCTCTCCCGGAAACAGTGCCACATACAGGGATCCTGTCCCCGCTTAGTCCACAAAGACCTTTATATTCCCCCGGTGCCAACTGGGATGCTGCAGGCTGTGGATAACACAGGGATAGAGGGGCTGCAGGGAAGCCATCATACGTGAGGAGTCAGGCAGCTTTGTGGGACCGGTGGCAGGGCTGAGTCCACTCCCAGGAAGAGGAGGCAGAAAGGGCACTGCAGGCAGAGGGAAGAGCACACGCAAAGGAGGAGTGGGTGGGGGCAGAGAGGGTGGTCCCCAGAAAGCTTCAGATCCAAAAGCCACAGGCTGCCAGGCCGAGGAGTGTGTGCTTCCATAAGGCATCTGCATGTTTTCTGGGTTGCACATGAGGACAACAGGCCGCTCCCTTTCCTAAAAGACATGTTCATCCAGCCCAGAGTGAGCCTGGAGCAGGATGACTGTCTTAGTCTGTTCTCCTTGTTATCATAAAATACCATGGACCAGGAAGCTGATAAACAATAGAAATGTATTTCTCATCATTCTGAAGGAGGGGCAGCATGAGGCCTGGGCACTAGCATGGTGGCAGTGGACTTTTAGTTAGCATTCATGTGGTAGGTGCAGTAGGGCTGCTCTCTGGGGCCTCTTTATAAGGGCACTCATCCCATTCCTGAGGACTTTACCCTTAGGCCCTCCCTAATCACTTCCCACAGGTCTCACCTTCCAATGCTATCGCCCTGGGGAGACAGGACTCAACACAACTGGATGGGTGGACACAAACACTCAGACCATAGCAATGGGCTTGTGTGATGATTCAAAATTCTGAATGGGGGAATATGTGTTAGGAAAGTAGCCCCCTCTTTTCCCTGCTGCTCGATGTTCTGAGGACCCCTCCTGAGAAGCCCTGTTTCTGGGAAGCATGGCTGATCCTGGCCTGTGAACCACTGCTGGGTGCCAGGTGCCAAGAGGAGTCTATATTTTAGAAGGACACTCAGGAGTGGGATCCACTGGAGGAAGGGAAGGGGAACAAGTTCTGAGGCTACATCAGTGGTCCAGATGAGAGCTAGTGAGGATTCAAGCAAGGGAAGAAATTGGATCCAGGCCCTGAAGTTGAAGTCTGGGGCTTTGATTTCCCCACAAGCCTTAGCAAAGAAAAACAAAGTGACAAACAGCCCCACAAACAGCAGGTCTCTACACAAGGATTGGTATGTTTCCCTTGCATCCTAGAGGAAAATCAGAGTTGAACTGTCCCAGTCCTCAGCCACAGGAGCTAAGAATGTACAGGTGACTGGGGTTGAAGAAACAGGGTAGGACACAGCACATGCATTTCAGATCTCAGCTCAAATTTCCTTCCTTTTAGGGACCTTCTGAAGCCCGACATTGCTTGAGGGGTCCCTGTAGGGTGTTTCCAGGCAGTTTCTCTAGTGTGACAGTCATCCCCCCTGACGCCATCACCTGTCTGAAACTGTCACGTTGTGAAGGCCAGACTCTGGCTCGCTTGCTTCCTTCTACACACTAGGGCACAGAACTGTGCACAGCACATAGCAGGGAGTCTTTCAGAGCCTAGGGTCTGGGGAGCACAGATGGAAATCACTGAAGAATGATCAACAGGTGTCAAATGTTTAAGAAGGAAGCTGTCACATTCCCTTTCCCTGCAATTCAAATTCAGGTAACTATGCTGGAGCTGAGAGAGTCAGTGTCCAGCTCTGGAGACCCTTCTCTTTCTGTAGCATCAACTCTTGGTGTTAGTGGCTGGGATAAGCAAGTGACTCCTGACCCCACTGGAATGGCTTTGAGGTGACATTAAGAAGTAGGGTAGCAGCAGGGAAGAGGGGGAGATGATCAGCTATTTCTCCTTGAAGTAGATACAGGATGGAGCTATAATGCTTTACTGCCCAAATTTCATGGTCAGTGCCTATGGCAGACATCACCAACTGGTCACAGCAGTTTCCCACTGAACCAGGAAGCTACCTTCCAAATCTCCTCTCTCTAGTATCAAGGATGAAACCTATTTGTCATCCCAGGTCAAGAGGATTTTATTCAAGCTATCTTTCAGGATCAGGAAGATCAGACATTCAAATGAAGGGGGACTTTTCCTTCTCTTTTCCTTTTCCTTTTCTTCTTTTCCTGTGCATTATCCCTGTCCTACTAGGGTGTCTTTCTCAAGCCAACACCTGATCCCTCTATGGTCCCTGTCCTGTCTCTCATGTGCTATAAATCACTTGCCCTGCCTGGCTTGCTCTATGCATGAGTGAAAAATGGATGAACTGTCAAAGCTACAGATTTACTGCATGGATAGTAAAACTTAAATATCATCTACTTGTGGAAAGTGTATGTCTAATATATATAATAATATATATTATATATAATTTTTAGACTCTAAGTCTTCTATGGGGTCGAGCTCTGAACTGATCAAACCATATCTAATGATCTGAATTACTTAGAAAAGCAGAGAATGACAAAAACAGCAGGCAGGCAAGGAAGGAAGGAAAAAAGAAAAGGAAGGAGGAAAAGAAAAGGATATAAGGTCTCTAACAGTGAAAACAGGTCCCATAAAGATTCAGACTTCTGAGGAGCAGCCAAGCCTGCTAGTTCCCCTGTATTTACTTCAACTTTACAAATAATTCTAGCAAGCTCAGACACGCTTTCTTTGCAGATGACAGCACATTAGGAAAAGCACATGTAAGGATGTATTTATTACCGGGAGTAGGGACACTGGCAGTAATATAAAGTGCCAGCTGGGGGCAAGAGTAGGCAAAGAAAATCTGAATTAAACTGGGGTGGTAACTGAAAATTACAGTAGTTTGGAAATACATGACATAGGGGCAATAACCCTACAAACAGCACGAACTCATCTCTTCCTTCCTTCCTTCTTCCCCCCCCCTTTCTTTTTTTGGGGGGGGTTTACTCTTTTTTTTTGGTACCAAGGATCGAACTCGGGACCTTGCGCTTGCGAGGCAGGTGGTGGAACCACTGAGCTAAATCCCCAGCCCTTGGGTTTTTTGACACAAGGTCTTGCTATATAGTTTAGGCTGGCCTTGAACTCACTATGTAGCCCAGGCTGGCCTTGAACTTGTGACAAACCTCCTGCCTCAGCCTCCCAAGTGCTGGGATTACAGACATGTGCCATTACACCTGGCAAGTGAAGCAAGCTCATCCTACAAATGTCATTTTAGTATGATGAGACATCACAGTGCTGCTAAATCATTCATTTAGGACAAACTAAACTATGCTGTATACTTTTTTGAAGAAGGAGGGGGAAGGACTGTATTAGTTTCAGAAATATTTTCATGTAAGATGGCATATATTTTAAATGTTTTGGAAATCAAAGGCGTAAATTCTGGCCAACGTTAATTTCTGCAGGATTATCTCAGGTTTAAAGGTGGCATCACTGCAGGGAGAGCAGATGCCAATGCTGAGCCTAAGCTATCTGGTAGACAGTGTGGAGCCCAGGGCTGTGGACAGAGAAGATCCCCTACCAGTGATGGTGAGCTTTTTAGAGACCGAGTGCTCAGACTGCAACCCAAACCCACTTATTTATTGCAAAGTGCCAGCACTGCAATTAAACCTGAATACTGAGGTTTTAGTTTAGAAAAAACAACTCATACACTTGGCTAGTGTGGTGACAGAGAGGGCTCTGTGTGTCTGCTGCAGCGTGCGTGCCATAGGTAGACGCAGGAGTCAAGATGTTTCCTAACTGTAGCATTCCAAATCCTGAGGCAAACACCTAAAATAACCAAGAACACCAGGGGAACCTCAGGTTTAGCTGGGGGACAGCTTGCCTTTCTCACCCATAATGAGTGATCTCACCAAGGCATGAGCCAACCTACTCTAAAGGCCCCTGTTGGCTTCGCTTGATTTGATTAAACATAGCAGCTTTGACAAGTGACTCCAAAGACTGGTGTGGATACCCAGGTAGGCTCAGACCCTGCCAAATAGTCCTACTTGTCAGGAAGGAAGAAAACAAACGTCCAGGGTAAGCCAATCCTTGGCTAGAAGTCAGGCAGAAGTATTAGGATCTGTCTATGAGATACTTTCAGTACAATACCTCAATTTTTGGCCTTTGATCTAAAATTTTATAGAATTTGACAGCTAAAAGAAACAGATTCAATGAAGAGGTTATGGTTTGAATTGTGGATGTGCCACCTTACTAGCTGTGTGGCCTTCAACAAGTTGCATTGCCTGTCTAGGCCTCAATTTCCTCATCTGCAAAATGGCAGTGATCATGAAAATAATAGTACCTGCCTGACGGAATTGTTGGGAAGATGAAATAAAATGATATATACAAAGCACCTAATTGGTATCTGGCACATAGAAAATACTCATCAGATGATAGTTGTTATAAGAATTTACTTATTAATGTTGCCCTGCTAGGAAGAAATGGAATCTCTCAGAAGACAGGTGGCCGACTTTAGTCACCCAGTCGTAGTCTTTCCCCCATTTTGTTCCAGAAGTACACCAAGCAGGTGAAGCTCTGTAAGGGAATCAGCAAGGGTCTCACCGAATCAGCCCACTGGCTCGGGAGCTCATTCTCTCCCGTGTAGGACATCCAGGCCTGGTTCCTGTAGGACGAGGGAGGCGTCGGGATGAAGTAGCCAGTGAAGCCAGGTCTGTTGGCAGCTGGGATGGCGAACACCGCTGGCACCGTGTTACCTGGCATGACGGAGACGGGTGGGGAGGTCAGAAGAGGCTGGGATCGAGCTCCCCAAGAGCCAAATGAAGCCATCTGATGGACCACCTGGTGGCCTGCCAGGCCTAGGGCCCGAGTAGGGCTAAAATCCAGCCTGCGCCCTTTTCCGGGGTGAGGTCGGCACTGAGCCAGAGGAAGGGAAGCTGTTTTCTATTTTCCCAAATACAGCATGGAGTGGAGTGCTGTGGATTTTTCCCTTCTTCCCACCCCCAGCTGGTATCCCCCCCGCCCCGGCCCTGCATCTGTCCATGTTTGGGGGAGCTGGGGAATCCAGGGAGTGCTGTGGCATTGGGCACAGCTAACAGATGAGATGAAAAAGGTAGGGGGAGGTAAAGGGAGAGGAGTCCTCCTCTTGCAACCCCTGCCACTGTCACCTATCCAGTCAGTATGGGAGGACATGTTATGCAGCAAAGGATTAAAATCCACAGCTTGAGGACTGTAATTGCTTTGGGGAGAAAGGGAATGAGACAGGATGGATAGTGGTTTGAGTAATGCTTTAAAGATAAAACAAACAAGCCCCACAAAATTGAAGTATGGCAAAATGTTACCATGCTCCTTGACTTTAGCATACTTTGGGATTTTGGCTGATCTTGGATCTTTTTAAAGGATTAAGACCCGAAGCTCTCTTCTTCAGTGAGAGCTGGTGGTCATGAGGGGCCCCAGAAACGCAGTGGCTTTGATTCCTGAGAGTGGCGCAGGTAGCATGGATTTAGGGGTCAGGAGGAAAGAAGGTTCAGCAGCAGGGTTTGGGGGAGGGCTTGGGGTGTCTTCCTCCTCACCTGAGTAATTTAAAGCTGACTGATCCAGCTGCGCCACGGACACGGGGCCTCTGGAAACCTGGGCGAACGAGGCACTCTCATGCAGTGGGGCTGGCTCAGGGCCCACGGACTCGGCCATTCGGGTCTTGCTGCCAATGTCTGAGGTGGATCTGGGCAGAGTAGAGGGGCTCCATTAGCATGGGCCCCAGACCATCATTTGGGAGTGGGCTGTTGCCTCTAAGCCTCACAAGGGTGGTATCTTCAGGACTGGACCCACCCTCAAATAACAAAGGGACTTCTGGGGGCATCAGCAGGGCAAGAAGTGCCAGAACTTGCTGTGGCAGTAGTGTGACTTGAGCTGGAGTCATTTCTAGGTGCTCAAGGTCATTTCTCTCCTAAGGGTGGCTCAGTGTCTCTGGGTAGAAATTTAATTTTCATATAAAAGCAATTAGCACCAGGTGTTAGCCAGGGATGGTCAACCTAGCAGGTGATGACATCATCTGCAGCCAATGAGGAGGCTCTGTCTGGAGTGCGGGCATGCGCAGATGCCCTGGAAGGCTGGGGTGGAGCGGGACACATTAGCAGCTGCTACTACTATCAGGAAGCAAGAGGCTCAAGATTCTGTGAAGCCAGGCTGCTCTAGGAGCTGCAGACCAGCACTCTTAGAGCATCATGAATGAGAGAACTGCTACCCTCTTTTGGTCCACAGTCAAGCAGAGAATCAGGCCCATTCATCACAGTATCTTTCCGTTTGGTGCTCAGAAGCCATGTCTGAGGAGGGCGGCCCACTTAGCAGGCACAGGCATCCCCACATACAAAGGGTGCCTTCGTCAGAGACCAGACACCTCTTTTTATAGGTGTCACCTTTCACCTGAGGCAGGATGTCACAGAAGGCCCTCTGACTCCTTGAAAATAAACTTGGGAGGGAGGTAGGGAGAGGCAGATGCAGCAGATAGAAGGCTGCCAGCCCACAGGGCCACTAGGACATAAAGGAGTGACTGTCACAGTCGAGCAGAAGAGAACCACACAAGGGGGAGCATGGGAGGGAGAGGTCTGCTTTCATTACCTCCCCGCCCTGAGCCTCAGTTTCCTCATCTAGGACCTAATGGGGTGGACAAGTTCACCTCAAAAGTTCCTTCTTCATCTAATTCTCTGGGTTTGTCTGAAGGAAAAGTGACCCTTGGATGTCTGGCAGGGATGGCAGATGGTGAAGGAGGGCTGCCACAAAGGGCTGGTGTGCAGCCCTCGAAGCCAGAACTGCCGGGAGTAAGTGAGAAGCCCTGACTCTTCCCAAAAGCAGAGGCTGTGAGGATTTGACTGTATAGCAGGAAGGGTGCTGGTGGCTCCGTATGGGGCCTCCCTCCCTCTGCCCCTCCCATGCCTGCTCCTACAGCCCTTGCTTCCTTCCCAGGAGAATTGCTGGGTTCTGCTCCACACGCTTTTCTGAGACCCCCATCTGAGGAATCCCAGAGCTCCTGAAATCATTTAGGCCACTGCTCTCATTTTACAGATAGAGAATCAAATCAGGCCCAGAGAGGCAAGGTGACTCACCTGGGGTTACAGAGAAGATCCCTGGCAGATTAGGGGCAGGCACTCTGTTCACCCACCTCACCTTTTATTCATTGGCACCAGGGGTGCTGTCTACGCAGCTGCACCTTCTGAACCACTGGGGAAGCTCATATTTTCCATCATTTTCACAAAATCCAGACCTGTGGTCCACAGGTGGGCTGTGAGGAACACGTTCCAGGGAGGCTGGGAGGGATGGCCAGGCTGGTAGCTCGTGTGTAACCAGGAGCACAGCTGTTTCTCCTAAACCCTGGACATCAGGCTTATCTTAACCTTTCTCGGTGTTCATGGCTTTTGTATTACTTGTCCATCTTTATTAAAAACATGTTTATCACTACAGAGCACAGACTATGTAACATATGTCTCATGTTGAGACAGCTGAGTCCCTGTATTTTAGCCTCTTCCTCTTAGAAGTTAAGATTTGGGGTGGGTGCTCACATGTGCTCCTTCCTGGCCTCAGACCCCAGCCTTAAATGATAAAGATATTTCTAGAGGTGCAAATATGGCAGGAGGCACCCAAATGTGTAGGAGCCACTGTGATGACTTGAGCTGGTGTCATTTCTAGATGTTCAAGGTCAGGGTAGGAGGTTGGTTTTTTTTTTTCGGTTGAAAATGTATTTACTTTTCTTCAAATGATCTTTTTCAAGTAAGAAATAAAAACAGACACGTTGACTTTTCAAAAAAACCCAAAAAAATCCCATAAACTATATACATCCTACAGAAATACAGGTGTAAAAAATGTAGAAATGACATCACTCTACAAGATGGGGCTATTTACAAGTATTGCATTGCTGTCTCTATGAAGTCTCTTCTTGAACGACTCAAACTCTAAGGAAGGCAGGGTACTCTGGAGGACAACCTTCAGAACAGACTCCATTTTTCTTGACAGACAAGAAAATTTCAAGGAAAAACATCAGTATCTACACAGTGCATTCAGTCTGCTAACAGCACTCCATAGCCCAGCTGGCTGCAGAGCATGAAGAGGAGCCGTGTTCAGGAGCTCCCTCAGGAAAACAACTTGCCCCTTAACTGGGCTGGGATGGCAGAGAGAATTCACTGAGCCAGGGACAAAACTCTGGCTGTGGCTTCAGGGAGACCCAGCCTCCAGCATCACCTTGCCATCCACAAGAAAGGGTGGTCTCCCACACCTGCCTGCCCCTGGACAGCACCTAGGAACTTTGAACCATCCTGATGCCTGGGTCCCACCCTCAGGAATTCTGCTTTACTTGGCCAAAAATGGCCTGGGTATCAGGATTTCCAAAGTTCCTCAGGTGATTCTGATACCCAAGATGAAGCATTGCTTCACTACTGCAGGCTTTGTTCCTTCCCCTTCCACTTGGAATCTGCCATCCTACTTCAAACCTCCACCTTCCCAAGGGGTTAATATATTTTCTCACTGCTTCCTGACTGTTGAAAATGGAGCACCTGAGCTCAATGGCCTCAGGAAGGAAGGAATGAAGCTGGAAACTGCTCACCAGTGTTTCAGCCTTATATTGCTCTGTGGGGGAGTCCAGTCCATTCCTGCGACTCCTCCACAAACACCCAAGAGTCAAACAAGATCCTGGGAGGGAGTCAGCTGCATTCCTCATTCTCTACAGTAAATACCCAATAAGCCTATGGCATTTTGTGGCCAACAGCAAAGCTGGTAATCAGTGTGGTAGTACTTTTGGCTATTAGAGAAATTCACCAGCACCAGAAACTGCTTCCTGGGAGGAACAGCTGCTTATTGAAACCCACTGGCCATTTGCACTGGTCCTGTGGTAGTGTCTTCATCAGAGCAGTTCAAAATCATCAAAGAGACTTTTGGTGGGAGATGAACAATAGAAACAGTTCCCTTGTTCAATCAAGCCAATGTCCTATTTTATTTCTAAGAGTCATGCTATTATCAAGTACAAAGAAAACAACTTTATAAATAGCTGTTTGACACTGTGATAGAAGACTTCAATTGGGAAGCAGAGAAAGACATCTGGAGCTCATCCTGAGTTCCTACTATCCATGTAGTTGGGATCCAGTCTAAAAAAGGAGAACAGATTTGGCAAATATACACTCATTGTATCAAAAGTGAGTCTATTCTGGGGGCTACCTGCCCCTCCTTCCTGCAGCCCCTCTGCCCTGCCCATCTGCTCTTGAGACCAATGCCTTTTTCAGTGCAGAATTCACTTAACCTCATTCTTCACCAGACATGAAGTAACTTCCAGGAACAAAGGAAAAAGTGGCAATGTCCAAGTGTATTTATCTCTAAATGAGTCTGCCATCTGGGAACTTCAACCCCTTCCTGCCTCCCTATCAACTCTTCAGCCAAGCAGCTCCCAGAGAAACAGGGCACCTCTGGTTTTTCTAAAAACAGGAAGTGGAAACTCTGGCCTCTCCCCAAGGAAGAGCTTCAGGCAGGCGGGAAGAATGATGTTGACACAGGGAAAGAAATGTAATGAACCCTGGCCTGTCTGGAATGCCCAATGAGAAAGAACACTTCCACACAATTGTAACATTGAGGCTTAAAGTTACTTATGGGTGAGCAAGAATGTTCACCCATTCTTGAGAGCCCATTCTCAAATTCTTTAGAGCCCATTCTCACCCATTCTCTCAAAGGGTTTTAAAAAATGCTCTCATTTCTAGACAAGTTTGCAACGACCTCTAATCCATAACAACACTGTTCCACAATACTACAAATGAAGTAACAAGTAACTTCTGCCCTTTCCTCAAACCTTCCACCCAGAAAAATGTCCTTTTCCCTCTAAAGCCATTCCTCCATTTGGAAAGGCCTCTTACAATGGCATTAGCCCAACTAAGGATTCAGAATGGTGCCCAAGTACCCATGATGCACTTCTCAGGAGCCAGCAGCTAGCCTTGGAGTCTGCCATGCCCCACCTTGAAAGGGCCCTCTTCTCCTTCTAAACTTCAGGAGACCTGAAACATGGCATCCATCCCCCCCCCCCTTTTTTTTTGGGTACCGGGGATTGAACTGGGAACCTTGCGCTTGCGAGGCAGGCACTGGAACCACTGAGCTAAATCCCTGGCCCTATTCCCCTTTTTATTCAAAAGAGGAAGGGTCTTTAAAAAATTAACCAAAGTAGAATTTAATAACACAACAATTTGTTGGTATACTTCATTTCAAATAAACCCCCTTTAAATCAAAAACTTTGATTAATGTAAAAGAAAGACAGTATTTCAACATACAAAAGGATTCATTTCAGGTACTCCTAGTGATCTGGTTTCCCCCATGGCCTTGCCAAATGATTTTGCTATAGGAAAATCTGAAGTGCACCCCAATTTTCCAGGAGCACCTTATATATAATATGGGATTTACCACAGCCCACAGACGAGCTCTAGGCAGGTCTATAAGAAAAATGCCCCAACCATCCAATGGATTATCAGAGAGAAAAAGTTGTATGGTTATGGTCTATGTGCCCAGGAATCAGTCACAAAAATAACTAAAAAGTAGTCCTCTCTTTCCTTTCCCCTCCCAGCCCAACCTGCCTGCTGCTCAGTGGCGCCAAATGGACAGTGACCATGCAGACTACCACAGACCTACACAACAACATTTATCCCTCACTGTTTAGACACTTGCATGCTCTTGTGCTCTGGTATTTGACATCAACATAAGTATATTCCAAATTCACTGTTACTAGGCTCCTCGTACTTACATACTCTGAGGAAATTCACAATAAATATTTTTATTTATTATTAAGCATATTCACCTGTTGGTGAATAATTAGAAATGAAAACCATATTTTAGGTTTCTTAAAAAAACACAAAATTCCCATGACTATAACAACAAAAGGACAAGAAGAAAGAACCAGGCACTTCCGGTAAATTTGTTTTCTTCATCTCCCTTCCCCTTCCTCCCTCCCCCATAATGAACTGGTTGGGCAAGCTTGCCAGGGTCTGTGGGTTTCAGAACTTCAAGTCTTTCTGCTTAAAAAAATGAGGTAAGAAATTTCTACCTGAAAAGTAAAACTGACACATAAACCAATCCAAGGTCTTCCCTGGCCCCTAACGCCACCATTATTGCTCTAAGTTGGAGTGTTTTGTCTGTTTGCTTTTAATGTGTGTTCAAAGTCCTTATTGACATTCTAGCTGGCCCTGTGGTTGGTTGGCCAAGGAGAAATGGATGGGGACAGGGCTTGGTCAGCTGCCCCCAACTGGTCTGTGCCTACCTGCTTCCCACACGTGTGGCTCACCCAGCCCTGGCTGGGGGCCAACTCTGCATTCTGGGGCTCTGCGACTGGTTCTAACAGCTGCAGGAGGTGGCAATGGGGCTGTGCAGGTATGGCGGGCTGCTGCGGGCCGAGTGCACACTCACAGACACTGGGAAGCTGAAGATGAACTGTGAGGTCGGGGTGGGGGTGGCTTTGCCCTGTTCCTGAAGGGGGCTGGAAGGGCTGGCAGCCTCCGCAGCACAGGATGTGGCCAGCACCTGGGACTTGAACTGCAGCAGCTGCCCCATGAAGCTGAAGTTGGGAGAGATGATGTTCCGGCGCTGCTTAACTAACTGAAAGGCCTCCTCCAGCCAGGGTATGAGGCTTTCAAGGCATGGGTCAGTTAGCTGTGGCTTTGTTGCCTGTGGATTCTCAAGGACTTTCTATTGAGAAAGGGTCGAGAGTCAGTTGACTCTCTGTGCTCCCTACTTCCCTCCCAGTACTCAGGTGCCTATGCAGGTGATGTACCTTGAGTGGGGGAGGGCATGAAGGAAATTTGCTGGTACTACTCTCCTCAGGACCAAGTAGCACTGGGACAAATCTCTCTCAAATGTTGCAAACAAAGCAGAGAAAGGAATGTGTTACCGTCTGAGAGAAGCAACAGCCACTGGCCCAGTCCGGGGAGGTACAGGCGGAGGCGGAGAGCCCATGACCATTTCAGGAAGCTGGGAAAACCTGTAGGCCTGGGAAATTGACAAGTAAATAAGAAGGAGATATGTTAAAACCCAGCATCCATCAACACACAGGTTCATTTATGAGGTATTATCAAAACATATGGCGAATGTGTAAATTTACAAAAAAATTTAAGACACATTGTAATTAAAACCGCACTCAAAACACTTTTCCTTGCTTCAAATATGCTGAGCCCATCATTCTTGCCACTTTCTGAAGCAGTCCTGGAAGTCCTCTTTCATGTCTTTAGTTGCTCTGGTCATGGCTACCTTGATGTCTTCAACCAATTCAAAATGTTTATCTTTCAAGGTGATTTTGATTTTGGGGGAAGAGCCAGAAGTCACACAGTGACAGATGAATAAGGTAGATGAGGACACATCGCAATGATTTTATGAGCCCACCTTTCTGTTGGCTGGCATTTGGCAGCAGCATTCGCTGTGTTCTGGACCACATGTTGTAAAGACACTCATGAAAGAGGACTTTCAGAACTGCTTCAGAAAGTGACAAGAATGATGGGACAGCTATGTTCTAGGTGAGAGAGATATTTTGAGTGGGATTAATGGCAATGTGTCTTTTACTGTAATTTTAAAAATTTAAACACTATATTTTGATTCCCCCTTGTATAGAGAGGAAGTCACACTTTCCTTCCTACCTCAGACTTATTTTGGAGATCTTCCTTACCATGTTCCCCATCCACCTCTTGTATTTCATCTCTCTCTACTCCTCCATTTTCTCAAGCTACTGTGACCACAGAGCCATTCAATGTTCTTAGAACAGTCAAATTCTTTCCTGCCTTGGGCTTTTGGTACCTACTGTTCCTCCTACCAGGGATATTTTTCTCCTACTTTCTTCCATGATTTCATTCATGAAGTCTTCATTTTATTCATCCTGCTCCACACTGCACTTTTTCCCCATTTTATCTATCCTTGTACTACTTTTCACTATGGCAATTACTACTTTGGAATTTATATCATTGCTTATTTATTATTTGCCATCAGCTAGACTGTAAGGGTGATAAGGACAAGGGTTTATTGTCAGTAATGTCCTTATGCCTGGAATGGTACCTAGTATATAACCAACGATCGAATAAATATTAGATGAATGCATGAATGAATGAATCATTGAATTGTTTTACTTTCTCATGGAAGGCAGGTTTAGTTCAGGAAAGCAATGGGTTTGTGGTCAGGAGGCAGGTGTGGCAGTTCTGATAAACTTTTGGTCCCTAGGCAAGTCAGGTGACCTCTTGGACTCCAGTGTTCCTTTCAGACTGGGGACACTGATGCTCTGGATGTTCTTCTCAGAGGGCTACTGAGAATACAGGCAAGTCAGTTTGGGCACAATCTATAGAGTGCCAGCCAAAGATAAGGAATTGGAATGTCACCAAAGACCTTCATCACTGCATAAGGGGATAAAGAAAAATGGACAGAGATGGACAGGGTTAGAAAGAGCCACACCACAGCCTTCTTTAGCAAGAGAAAATATAGAAATTCTCCCTGGGAACACAAAGCTTAACTTGTGATTCGGAACACAAAGTTTAATTTGTGATATCTCTTCTCTCTCTCTCTCTCCTGAAAGAAACTGAATAGGGTGCTAGGAAATGATGGAAAGAATCCCTTGTTCTTTGGTTGTTGGAATTAATGTTACTAAAATGGTCATATTACCAAAAGTGATCTATGTATTCATTGCAATCCCCCATCAAAATTCCAATGATGTTCTTCATAGAATTAGAAAACACAGTCCTAAACTTCATATGGAATCAGAAAAGACCCAGAAAAAACAAAGCAATCCTCACCAAACAGAACAAAGCTGGGAGCATCACAATACTGTTATCCTACAAAGCTATAGTAACAAAAACAGCATGGTACTAGCACAAAAACAGACACACAGACCAATAGAATGGAACAGAACAGAAGCAACCCCATGCACTCACAGCCAACTGATTTTTGACAAAGGAGTCAAAAACATATATATATATATATATTTTTTTTTTTGGTACCAGGGATCAAACTCAGGTCCTTGCGCTTGTGTACCAGGCATTGACAAAAACATCTATTGAAGAAATGATAACTTCTTTAACAAATGGTGCCAGGAAAACTGGATATCCACTTGCATAAGACTGTGATCAAATCAAATCAAACTGGATCAAAGATCTAGATGGGAAACAATCAGAAGAGTGCAGAGGCAACCTACAGAATGGGAGAAGAGTTTTGCTAGCTACTCTTCTGATAGAGGACTAGCATCTAGAATGTATAGAGAACTCTAAAAAAATTAACTCCCATCTCTTTCTTTAGGCTTCACACCTTCCAGATCTCTCAAAAAATAAGATGACAGGACATTAAACCCAAAAGCATCAGGACTGAAAGTAGCAGTGGGGGAAATCCTTAAACAGAAGCTGAATGAAGTTCCCCTGTAGCATGACAGGTAGCCAACTGCCTACTTATAAGGGCTGACCCATACAATAACAATGAGATCCTGGATAAAAGATGCGTTTTAATGCATTGTGAAAACTGCAAGATAGAAGGACAACTCTGGCTACCTTTCCCCGCATCTTAGCAAACTAAAACAAAACCATGAGATGAAACCAGTGGTGGAAAAGTGAGTAATTAGCAAATACAAAAGGAAGAGTTGCCCTAATAGACCAATGCCAAACTGACAACCAAGTGAGATCAAGCCTGGGACAGGGTAAGTTGAGGCAGCTGAATCTGAGAAACGCATCCAACCTAAAAGGGGACTCTCATTGGGACCTTTTGGGGGCTCACACGCAAGCAATTGTTAAGTCCTTCTTGGAGGGGACTGTCCCTAAAGTAGGCTCTCAGATCAGCACAAATTCAAATCCAAAACCACAAAATACCCAGGGAGAGAAATGAAAGTCAGTAGAAAAAACCATAGACTTTAGAGTTTGAAATTTCCAAATACAAACCAAAAAATGACAATTTAAACATGTTTTTAAATATAATTGGCCGAACAAAGAGATATTATTAGGAATGATCTGGAATACTTGATAACTTTTAGAAGTGGAACATGATTATTGAAATAAAACACCCAATGCAGGGGAATTAAATAAGAGATTAAATAATAAGATTTGCCATTAATGGAGTAATCTATCAACCTATTATATTAATAATATAATTATATAAATGTATATTATTAATCTATAAATAATATATTTATTATCAATAGTTCGATCTATTAAACTATGATATATCAGTAATATATAAATAATATAATTATTGTGTTATATTATTAGATATTATAATGAATGTATTAATTAGTTATAGATCAACTAAATAAGAGATAATAGAGTTCACCCAGCCATTCTGGACCTTATCTTTGTGTTTTGTTTGTTTTCCTTGTGGAATAAGTCACTGGCCTAGCTCCTGGTCTTCCAAAAATTTCTTTAGCCACAAAACCATTCTGTTACAGAGATGCAAACAGAGCCTCTTTAGTTGAAGTTGGAGTGGAAGGGATGGCTTGGTAAATCTGATCCTTTACTTACTTTCATGACCGCCCCCTGAGGACCTCCTCGGATTCTAAAGTTTTGCACACAGTTTGAAAATTATTGCCCTGGAAGACCTTTCAGCTTTATATTCTATGATCATCAATAAACCAACAACTAAAATGCTCCTTTCCCAAATTAAAGAAAGGGGTTCACAGCCCCTCTTCTTTCCTCTGGCCTTGTGTGTTATTCAGCAGAGGAGGCCGACAATCTATTTTTACCTCTGGCTCTTGGAAGCCTTATTCTGTAGTCAACACAGTTTCTCAGACAAGAAAAAGCTTTCTATGCCCGTCTGTCCTACAGCAGCTCACCAAGAGATCTGATTAAAAGTTCTGAACTTCTGACAAGCACCAAAGGAGTTCCCTTCTTTGGAAGATTTTTCCAGGTATAAGGCATGACTGCATGGGACATCAGCCACCTCTGGGATGGATCCTTGGGCTGTTGGGGCAGCCAAGGAGGTCACATTAGTATATGTGCTGCCAAAGTGAGCACAAGGAGGCCACATTAAAAGCCAAAATACAGCCTATGCCATGTGCTCACTGGCTGAAGGCATCCACCTATGCTGTATGTTACAGTTTAGATCTTAAATGATCCCCAAAAGTCTCCTGGGTTCAAAGGTTGGACATTTGGAAGATGACTGGATCATGGGAGCCCTACACTCATCAGTAGGATAATGCACTAATGAATTTATGGTGGAATGTGATGTTAGGAGGTGGGGCTTTGTTGGAGAAGGTGGATCACTATAGGTGTGACTTGAAAGGGTGTATTCTTGTCCTCCACTCCTCTCTTTTCTCTGTGCTTTTGGCTGCTATGGTTTGAGTTGTACCCTTCCACCATGCCATTTCTGCCTTGGAGCCAGAAACATGGACTGGACCCTCTGAAACTGTGAGCCAAATAAATCTCTCCTCTTTTAAATTGCTGGTGTCAGGTATTTTGTCCCAGTGTCAGGAAAATGACTAATACATTGCATCTTCATACCGTCCCTTGTGAAGGTTCTCCAGGGTTGTCATTACATTCTAGCTCCCTTTCTCATATACAAAGGTAGTTTGGTACTCATCATCAATTGGTTTTGGTTCTGGGAGGTACAACAAGTACCACACAAACTGTTTCAGCTGGAAAGGGTAGGGAGTCATGAGGCAATAAACACCAACAGGTTCTAGCTTGTGTATTGAGTTCTAAATGAACTATGAATACTAAATAAACTACAAGTACTGGGGCAAAATTTTCCCATCAAATCGTGTCAAGGGCCAAATTTGACAAGTTTTAAGGCAGTCAAGTACTAAAGTATGATTACATTTGGAATCTGGTTTCTGTTGACAATCTTGTGACCAGGATCCCACTGGAAGCTATCACTTAACACTATTGCCAGGTTCCAAGTTCCCAGGTCCACGATATTTGCTACAAGGCCTAGCCCGGCACTCAAGGGAATCATCTTTTGGGGTCCCTGCCTTTGGACCAGGAGACAGATCAGAGACTTGGAACTGAAGACCACTTTTATAAATAGGTTTCAGGTCT